AGAAAGATCTTCCGGCACTTCCTCCGCGCGAATTTTTTCATGTTTACATTATTAATAAGTAATCATACGGTTTTTCTCGTTCAATTTGGAGTTAATTTGCACTTATGAGTTTTTCAAAAAGCTGAAATTGCACTCGCCGAAGCGGCTCGTGCAATTTCAGCTTTTTGAAAAACTCACTCGTGCAAATTAATTCCAAATTGAACTCGAAACCGTATGATTACCTATACTAACTTCACAATGTAGCATTGGAATAAATCAAGTGAATAAAACTGCAGATAGTTCAGCTACATTATTTTATGTTTGTTCCCCCCTCCTCTCTCTCTCTCTTCTGATTTTCCAGATAACATCTAGTTGTTACTTTTTGTCAGTAGTACTTCTACTCCCCTTGGATGGGACACTTGTCCATCACAAGGTTGGCCCCCAGCATAAAGTTTGCCGGCACCCATTTACACACATGGGTGGAGAGAGGAACTGTGAGAGTACAGTGTCTTGCCCAAGAACACAACCCAATGTCCATGGCCAGGACATGAACCTGAACTGCTAGATCAGGATTAGAGCGCACTAACCATGAGGCCACCACATCTACACAAAGGTGCAAAGGTAAATGTGTAAAAAAATCAAGCCACAAACCTGATGATGATGTACTTGTGGCTGAGACATTCTGCATTGATGATGCCTTTGCTTTTGTCCCCGTCACAGCTCCACTTGAGGGCGCAACCATAGTGATCACCATCTTCCTGCGGACAGTCTGTGACTGACTGGCAATAGACTTGGGCACTTTATCAGCTGGAAGCAGTAGTAGCGGTTTCTTACCTCCAGTGCTCTCAAGCTGTTCAGCTGATGTCAACGTTTGGATAGTGGGACTGCCGTTTGGGTTGGATGATGGAATGAGAACAAGGACCTGTGAACCTTGCTTTGGCTTTTTAGCCTTTTTCTTGTCACTGCTCCTGGTTTTCATGCCATCCCCTTTCCCTTGCTGGATATACTGCTCTACAAGTTTAGGGGAAATCCTCTCCACAGGAACCAAGAACAATGGAGAACCTTTCGTTGTTGGGAGGGGAACTGAAGAAACTCCTTTTTTGCCTGCACCACTGGTGTAGATTGTTGCCTTTGCGGGGATTATAGATGAAGCACAGGTTTTGGATGATGGGTCTTCCACACTAGTTGATGGCTTGCTTGTTGAGCAGGAAGATGTTGGGGTTGCCTTGGCAGAGGTGGTACTACATGGAGATTTTTCAACAGCAACAGAAGATGTTGTACCCGCTAAAATACAACAAATGATAATAATTATTCTGCCGATAATGCCAAAGAACTTAACACTAATATATTTTCTTTACAACTTTCTTGTATCAGGGTGTAAACTCCCCCTCTAGATACATGTACCACTCATCTGAGAAAAGGACTTTTCCACTTCCCAAAGAACTCATCTAACTGGACGAGATAAATATACCTCATAAGTGATCATATTCTTGATGCATCTACACAATACATGCACTTGCCTTAAAGAACACATACATGTATATGACTCTTAGCTTTGTTCACCAAGGTGCAAAAAGTGGCTTTGAACATGTAAGTAGTGCTTCTTTCCTTCACATATCAAACTTTAACTTCAACAAACTTTGCACTGTTCATGTAACACATCACATTCAACACCTCATTTTTCAGCTTAGTAATGAAAATAGCCACAGGTCACATTATTTTTTTATCTCATTGTTTTCTTGTGTTATATTGTGTTAAAAGGCACCTACAAAATCAAAACATAATTTTGTCATTCTTGAGTTAACTCTTTAATTTGTCTGTTGGATACAAAAATGTATTAGCAATAGACCATTACAATAACTGCAGAAATTCATGCACGCTCATTAGGCTAATTTTCATTGTCAATAAGCAGACAGACACATGAATATATAATTTGTGTGATTTGCCAACGTGCGAGAGCAGAAAATTTGACAATTTTTTACTGTAAGAAAGAAATTGATGTTAGTTTTTCATGCATCTGTCCTGTTATTGACGATGAATTTTGACATAACATTGTCAAAGTAGTCTGCAGATCCACTCGGTTATCACATTGTGGATCCACAGCTACCGTACTTTGATAATGTTATGATGAAATTCATGATCAATAACACAAGCCTGCGAATAACAGTCAGTCATTGGACAATAAATTGTCCAGTAAATTTGAGGTTTTGACAGGTAAAAGCTTAGCCTGGTAGGACACTCTGACCAGGCATTTCTGCTGCAATGAAAAATATTTTAACTGGAAATTTGTGGCCGAATATGGAACATGTTATTGTATTATACCGGTACTAGCTGTCAGACAATATTACACAAAAAAGCTTTGTCATCAGTTTCGTTTTTTATTTCATTTCTGAGAAATTATTTTATCATGTGCAATGCATTGTCTCAAATGTCACGTCAAGTTGCATTCTTGTCCCCAGAGGCCACGCCTCTGGGGATGAGAAAATAATAGAAAAGCCATCATTGGGACTTTGATTACTGGCCGCCTAATAGGGGTGACCATTTATAGGTGTCTGCCTACAAGTAATAGGGGTTTGACTGCAGTTAGCATGATAACAGAATAATTTACATTTGAAAAGTAGTTAACAAGGTTTGTATCATGACAAAGTCAACTCTAACCTTGCTTCTTTTCACAGACCTGACCACTAAACAAGGGACTGTAAAATGGCTTTCAGCCCGTGTCTTATTTGATTCAGATATCAGTAGCCTCCTCTGCTTCCGCCCCATATAGCACACACAAAAAGTCTCGCATTGTAAAAAATACCCAAGGTTAGTAAAGAATCCAGTCGGACAAAAAAGACAGCACTTACATGTATCTAGTATGCACATCACCCAGAAAAATAACAAAGCATGGAAATTTTTTTTCTTTCTGTGTGGACTTTTGACAATCATCATTTCTAAAAACTATTGTAACTTAAGGCCCAAGCATTGCTATTTTTGTCATCTGTACATGTATGTATTTATGGGATAGACGCATTAGAAACCACTGCAGTTACTAACAGCCTTTTCAATAACAGCTTCGTTTTCTTTTGTAAAGATAAACAAATTTGAGCAATAACTGTACGATGGATTAGTGAGATGAAAACAGTTTTACACCCGGACAACATTAACGTAAGTGCAGCTGAGTAGAAACCTTTTTAATTAGAAGCGAAACCCTGATACATGTATTTTACAAACAAAGTCTTTGAATTGATTCTCTGGTAGAATGAAGAATTTTCTTCAGTCTAACCAAATTTAGAGTAAAATGTATGGATTTAAGCCAGAGCTGGAAAAAAAAATATTACACACATGTGGCATAACATGAGTTCTTTCAAATCCCTGTTTTGGCCAGACATATTTATTTACCAATAATAATTGGTCCATCATTAATTAGTACATATTAATTTGCACACACAAATAGTCTGATGACTAAATTATTGATAGAAACCAAACCACAAGATAACAAGGATTTTGAAAGTTTCCCAAGAATTTATTTATAATAAACAGGGGTTTTACAGTGTAACCAACAGTGAACCACCATTATAATATTATATTTATAATAAACACATTTTTGCAGTCTCTTGGCTTTTTATTATACTGTGGCTCCACCATATGAATCTCCTGTTGTGTTATGAAATGTTGTGGTTAAATTTTGCCATTGGTACAATTTGGTATTCTAATGGCCAATTCCCCCTTTGAGCCATGCCTGCAAGGATTTTTCATAGCAGCTGTATCCATCATCTCAGACTGGATATTTGTTTTAATGAATACAGCCACCATGACTCCCTGCAGACACATGTCATAGAGGGAATTGGCCATTTGTTCTGGTGTAAGGTAATATATTATAAGGTGTATCAAAAAATAAAACAGAAATACAAATTTGTACCAAGGGTTATATTGAACCACAACATACGCACAAGATGACTTCTAAATTGTAGACTTGCACTGCCCAAGTTGCATCAAACTATGTTACATTGCAGTCTAATACAGAGTCATTCATGTTACAAGTACAATTTTATACACATCAACTCTGCACGCACACTATGAATGTCATACACAGTGACTAAGAGCTGTTGATACATACCTTTAGTGGCCACATCTGAAGATTTAGGATCTTGTTCCTGGTCCACACTCATGAGTACAACACTGTCTGTATCAGGTCCTACAAGTTACAAAAAGGTTCAGTCAAAAAGGAGTAGACTGATCTCATCTCATCATGGCTTAGTCCTGTGAAATGTGAGTCATGTCACAACTGTGATGTTGATAACTTGCTAAGGTGGCTTCATTTAGGTGACAATTATCCTGGAAAAGCTCAACCGTGCTTTGAACATCACAGACCTACCCTGTAGGTGTATAGATTTATGGGTATCATCATGAATTTGTCAAAAGTGTTGAAGGTAACTTGTAATGGATCACAGGGACACCATGCATGCTGTATCAATTTATGGGTATCATGAAGGCGAATTTGTCAAGATCCCCTGAAAATGTGTTAGAAGGTAACTGTTGATTGATCACAGGGAGACCATGCAGAATTCCACCCCAAGGAAGTAGTAATATATTACTCTTCAAGTAGCCAACAAGTTATCACAGAAACCACAGTTGAGTTCAGAGAAAAAGAAAAAAAACAACAAACTATTTGTAGCTTAACTTACCATCTGTCTCATCCACAACAGGTTGCGGAGTAGTCTCTTTCTCGGGTACACTCGTTGAACTTGTGGCTCTGTTTTTCTCTTTTTCAGTTTCTACGTTGACAACTAAGGAGTAAAAAAACCTGAATTATAGATTTCTAATATTGCACATTTACTGGCAACAAGTAAAGAATGCTCAAAAATTTTAACGCAGAGTTTTATTTCGCCGTGCATACAGTGGATTAACATGTTGCTGCTTTCATGTGTATGATCTCCTGGAAGAAAGATGATCACGTCATGTTGATGTGGAAGTAAGATTATAAAAGTCAAATTATTCTCACATTTGATTGGTTCTCAGAGCTGCTAATAAGGGCCATAACCCGGCCCGTAGCCAGCTGTAATGCCTGAGCATATGCAATAGCCTCGTCTCCTACTGGAGGCCAGACACATGGAGGAAAACAGTGGAAATGGAGATTAAGGAGAAAGGATTAAAATTTTGCGCAGAGGCAGCATCAGCTGTAGTGAATAGGATAGCCTGGAAGCAGAGAGGCAGCAGCCCAGTTCTTCACTAGGAGAACAGAACAATGATGATAATGAAGATCAAGACCAATGGTAAATCCAAACTTAATGACAGCCCTGGTTCTACTTATAATCTACTGGAGGACAGACATATAGATGACATCATTAAAACATATGTTTTTCTTTCTTCATTATATAAAACAGATAGATTCCATGTTGCCATGCGTCTGTTCAGTAATAGCTTACAGAAGATGTCAAAATGTGGTAAGAACTTTAGTCACACACTTGCCTAGCAGCTTGTGTGCCACCTTTTTGTTCTTGCCACGTGTTGACGTCATCTGTGCTCTATTATCTAAACAGAAACATGACAACATGGCATCACGGCATCTATTAATGGTCAGGAAAACTTTCTGCGATTGGGAGAACAATGTTCATGATCAAGGCTGTATGTGTAAGTGTACATTGTACATGTCTACAGAGTAGATAACCTCTTGCCAGGAGATACCTCTTGCAATGGGATCATGCCCTTGGGACCAAAAATTGTCTTCTTCCACAGGTGTCCATGAATTGCAACTTAAGAATGTACTCTGTTGGTGTGTGGCAGGGAGTGTGACTTAGTGTTTGTTAAGGGAGCTGTCCGTTAGTAAAGGTTCAACTGTATCATTGTAATATACACTCAGAAATTTACAAAAATGTAGTTCAAATTGTCAGATCTTGAAAGCAACTGCATTAATTAAAAACTTTACTTGCCAGCACTTTTTTTTTCAACAAACCCTGCTTTGTGTACATACAAGTATATATTTGTAAGCTCAATATAACCCTTGGTACAATTTGTCATTTTTTTTTTGTTCCTATACAATTATAATGTACTGCCATATGCCAGAACAAAGAAATAAACAGTAATTAAAATTGTACCAATGGTAAAATTGAACCACAGGATATACATATAATTAGATTTGGCAATCCAGAGTGAAGAAAAAACATGCATGTATGTACATGTACAAGTATACATGAAAACTATTAGGGATGAAAAGGTCAGAAGAGTTGACTTGGACTAGAGAAATACATGTATATTACATGATACACTGTTTACATAGCCTGCAAACACCAGGAAAAGTTTGGGAGAATTCCAAAGTTGATATATAAATTCAACTCCTAGGGCTAAGGGTTTACAAAAGCTTATAAATTTGCATCACAACACACATCACAGTCTATCAGACTAGCTTCTTCTTGCATCTTGAACCCTTTAATTTCCAAGTGTTAGTTATGAAAAATTGTGGCTTCTTAAATATAATTTGAGACACTGTTAAGTAGAGAGGTGACGAGAATTTCTTCTCAAATCATTGCTTGGAAATATTTTCAGCCTTGATGTCCCACCAAATTGCCAGAACCAACATCAGTATAGCAATCATTATGAGTGTACAATTAAGGATTAACACTACAAGTGATATTTGAAATTCTCTCAAAATTGCACGAGCCTTCAAGCAAGACAGTGTTATTTGAGGGAATTTCAAAATATCTGCAGTCCTTTTTAATTGCTTGCACTTGCTTACAGTTACTCTGACTATTTATTGCATGGCTGAGAAAATGGCAAATTCACATGTGTTAATTAGGTTACTTTGCACTGCAGTGCATATTAAAAACTGATGATAAATTGGCCAGCTCTCAGCCAAACTCAATAAAGTAATCTTGTCAGTCATATAATAAATGGAGATACAACTTTCTTACATGAAATCCACTAAAAAGAATTGCTCTTTACACTATACACTGTACCTGGTGTCGCTGTTTTATCAGATGTTTGTGCCAAGTTTGATTTTCCTGTTTGGTTCTTATTCCTTTCTTCGGCCTGGATTATATTACCTTGTGTGTCCTTTATTGAGCCGCCTGCTTCAGCAGATTTCCTTGCTTTATTTGCTTCATTTGGCTGACTTCCATCTCTCTGAGAACTCTTTTCAGAGTTTTCTGTCTGTCCTTTGTTACTTTCTTTAGTCTGGCTTGCACCTTTCTGGGAATCTATTCAGGATTAATGAAAAAAAACAAACAAACAAAAAAAAAAAAACAGTGTGAATGGTAAAATGATGGAGCTGTTAAATATCTCCTTGTAGCGAGTACACTACATCATACAGTCTGCATTAGTGTATTGTTGGCCATTTACCCTGGCAGTTGAACACAAAAATATTTCAATGTTCATTGGTTTTTTGAACAGTTAGCATATAAAGGAATTTACATGTTCATGTAGGACTTTTGAAGACTACCTGAACCTTTCAAGAACTAGCAACAAATCAAATTACACATCAAGATAAAAGGGAAATACATCCTTCAGGATATTAGTAATATGCAGTTACATGTACCAGAGAAAATTAAGCAAAACAATTGTTAGCAATTGACCTGGAAACGACATGTATGCCTGACAATCACTTGTTATAAAAAAGTTGCTCAAGACATAATATCACCATTTTGTCAGTGAGCTTGTTTTTTATAGCTTTTAAATGAGGCTAAATGTAATTTAGGCTAAGTTAAACATGAAACGAGATTGCTGGCAAGCAGTCTTCCACAGAGTGAGTTCAGGGTGGCTGGGGGATTTGTGCAGGGGTGCAGGGATTTTGCAGCTCAGCTTCTGATGTCAAATCATTCTGCATGCTTTTCGCTGCTGGACAGTGCTTTTAATGCTGTAGTGCAAAGCACGTGATGCCTATGTCAGAACCTGACAACGCAGTGTATGAAGAGAACAATGCTTATGGAAACAAGAACACAGCAAAATATTGTGTGCTGACTTATTTGCAGAGGTCTTTCGATAAATCTAGCCTACGAACTCACACATATTTCTGGCTGTAGCTTATCTCCGCCGAAAATAACGTCTGCGAACCTGAGCCAGAAAACAATTTCTGTGACGTAATGACTTTTGTTTCTCCTTGGCCAATCAGATTCCATAATAGAATGCAACTCGAGTGCTCCTCACAGCGAATACCTCGTGCAGTAGTTCTGGGGCTACTTGAGCTAAACTGTGATTGGCTTAAGTAAAATTCCTACATCACAGAAATCGTTTCCTGGCTCAGGTTCGCAGACGTTATTTTCGGCGGAGACAAGTGACAGCTGGAAATATATCTGCGTTCGCAGGCTAGATAAATCAAAAGAGAGGAAAATAATTTCATGATATCAACATTTTTATCACTGTGCAGCCCCCTGACCAATTTTACCACAAAAGCACCAGAAGTTACCACAATCACTTAAATTCTCCACATACTGTTAACCTACAAACAAGCATACAGGAGAGGAGAATTTTGCAAATGATCAGCACATAATTTCTCTTCAGAATATATTTACATCATCAACAATTACCAGGTGGTTATGAGAATTTCACAACTGATCAAAAAGAAAATTTGATAAACATATTAAATAAATCATCACCCAAAAGGATATATAAATTATAAGGAGCATTTAATAATTTTAATGACACAAAGAAAACAAACATTCTCTGGCTCAACAATGAATACAGCAGCCTAATCACAATTTATGCTTTAAATTTGCTTCACTTTGTCTTTTAAAGACCAAAGTTATGGTACTTTTGACCAAGAGATGGCCATATTAATCAATAACACTCATTATAAAAATTTGGGAAAAGCCTTCACATGAGTTTTATGGTGATTTCATGACATTCACAAGAAATTAAGAACTTCTTCAGGGCAGTCAGTAAGGGCCGTAATCTGTAGCACCTACATGTAATATGGCTAAGTATGCTAGATGGAACCTTGATGTTACCGGTGAACATGACTGTAGTCGATACAATTCACTCATAAAGTAACAAGTTTGTTGTGGGGGCTACAGGTGAATCAAAACGTAATGACAGCCCTGTTCTCTAACAAAATCTTATATTCCCTGTCTTTTTCCTGGCAATTATTAGTGATTATTTCCTAACTTTTGGCAATCCTGATTGATCAGATCAGTGCATGAGAAACCTGAAAACTATAATTAAATGTCTAGATTACCTGTGTTATCCACTCGCTGCCTCTTGTTTTTATCATTCTCCATACTGTCAGCTGGACCTGGCCTCTTATAAGAATCTTTTGTTTTGACAGCAGCATTTTGTGAGTTATTTGTTGGTCCAGCTGCCTTTCCTGTAGGCACTGCAGGTTCGTCATCAGGAACTTCAATGTCATCTGCTGCATCGATAGCAATCACTGTTTTTGAGGAAGATGAGCGTGAAGTTGTCCCCAATGGATTCTTTATGCTCATCCAAGTGTCCTGTATCCTTTTGAATGTTGGAAAGATGTTTATTCCAAGTATCTTGGCTAGTTCTGGACCGATACCATTTCGAAGGATTTGAACATATCTTTGCCTTGGAAGGACAAGTCTACTCAGCACTTTCTTACCAAACAGGCCAAAATCATCAATGTGCTTGTCCAACAATGCTGGCATGACATAGGCACGGAAGAAGCTTGGATGGGCATGACAATCAGCAATGATAACGGCATTGGCGGCATCCTTGGGTTTATTGTAAATAAATTGTTTCATATCTTGCTCTGAGTAGTTTTCCTTCCTTGCAATTTTCTTGGCCTCTACTGACCTCACTTTTTTGACAATTCGACCCCATTTGACTGCAAATGGAAGACTGAAATCCAACATGTTAGTTTCGTCAATCCCATCTTCATCATTATCATCATCATCACCAAGGTCTAGATCTTCCAGGGTGATAAACTTCCTTTTCTTCTTAACTGCATCACTTCCTGTTTGTGGCGTGGAGTTTGAGCTCCCAGCTGAGGTGGCATCAGAGTTGCCAAAAGTATTACCTGAAGATGAAGCTACCTCAGAGGAACTTGCTTTTCCAGTTTCTTTGACTTTACTGTCCGCATCTGTGCAACATTCGGCATTGGTTCCCTCACCCTTTTTGCTTGACCTTGCCACCTCTTTGACCTGATTGCTGTCCTTTTCTAAGGATGTTTTCTCCTTGTTTGCATCTTGATGTTTGCTACCACCACTCCCTGGTTTATCTGTTACCATGGGAACATCAAGTGTGTCCTTACTAGTGCTAGCAGTTCTTGTACCACTACCACTGTCAACATCTATAGTTTCTACTTCTCTTCCTTCACATGCGCCATCTGCTTTGTTTTTTGTAGTCTCTTGTTGCTGGCCCTCCTTCACCTGGTTTTCAGGATCCATTTTAGATTTTTCAGTTTGGTCACTGTCTCTGACAGTCCCTTTTTCATCATTGATTAACTTTGCACTATCCACTTTGTTTCCAACTTCATCTCTTTTCTCAACAGTGGCTTCCTTAACTTGGCCTTTCTCACTGCCAGTCTTGGAATTGTTTCCGTCTTCTTCAACATCCATTGCAGCAATTTCTTTTCCTACATCAGAAGGTTTCTCAGTAATTTTATCCTCCTGTGTTGCATTGGCAGATTCCTTGACACTTCTCCCAGCGACCTCGCAATTTTTTTCAGCATTTGCATCAACTGTTGCATTGTCTTCTTTGCTGACAAGATCAATTATTGGTTTTTCACCTTCTCCTGCCTGCTCTCCTTTCCTTGATTTTAGCTCTTTGACATTGCTGCAAGAGTTGGTTTCACTCTGGTCATCCACCATTATCACATCAGATGACTGCAATTTTGAAGCTTTGCTGCTATCATCAATCTCCATTGGCACTGATGTCATATCTTTGGGGGTAGATTCATCAGATATGTGTCCCACATTTTCAGTCTGCTTGGGCTGCTCAGACGGTTGATCAGCTCCGGATTTACCATCAGAAGATTTTGCACATTCATTTGCTTCAACAGATTGCGGCTCACCATCTTTCTTTTCACCTTCTTTGCCTTTACCATCTTTTCTTGGAAATGATACTAACGAAGTGGGGGTGACATCACCAGACTCTTTACCTGACTCTGCTGACTTCTCTTCTACTGGAGGGGAATCACTGGCGTTCTTGTCTTCTACTGTTATTGTGTCATTATTAGTAGTTCCAATGCTGGAGTCATTATGATTAGCCAAGCCAGCTCCAGTAACTGAAGTTCTTGTGGCTGATTTTTCGGCATCTGAGTCTAAACAAATGGTGTCCACAGTCTTCTTTGCTGTTGCAGAACTTCCTGCATTTGGATTAGTGTCTGTCTTGGGTTGAGCTGTGGAGCTTTCTGGTTTCTGGTCAGTGTTGGCTGCGTCTGACGGCAGTGAATCTTTACTGCCTTGTTTATCAGCTCCTGGAGTGGTTTCATCACCTTGTGAAGAATTATCTACATCTGACGTTTTTGCATCTGCTGGTTTGCTTCCATCCTTACTGCTACTTTTTGTCCCCTTAGCCTGGTCTTTGCCTTGCGGCAACAAAATCAACTCCAGCAATTTGGCTTCCACCTCCCTTCTAAAGCGTTCAAACTCTGTGAACATTTTAAAAGCGGAAATGCCGCCAGACTGAACACGAAAGGATTTTTGTTCCAGTAACTGAAAAAGTGAGATCATTTTGGCCACTCGAGGCTTGACAAGATCCAGAAATTCGTCATCTGGAAGGCGTCTAAAAAGTTCACGTAACCGCGCCCTCCGGTGCGAATCAGCAATTTCCAAAGGCAAAAAATTGTCGCATGCAATTGATGCCTTCTCCGTGGGAACTAAATACTTGTGAGTAGGATTAAAATAGTAATGTTTTCGAAGAGCTGCTCTGTTTGGGTAAGCCTTCTGGCACGTAGGTAAACCACATACGTTATTATTTTCATGGCACGCCCGACAATATCTGCAGCATCCCCCAGCACAAAAACTGACAGAAGAACTTTTAGCTTTTGTTGCTGTTGGTTTGCTTTCTGGTTTGGCCACAGGTGTGTTGCTTGAGGTAGCAGGTACTAGTGAAACATGTACAAGCTGTGTGGGTGCCATTACTGGAGGCATTTTAGAGGCTGGCAGAGAAGGTGCAGTGGACTGAACAGTTGCATTTGTTTGACTAATTAAATTCACAGTAGTAGTCTGTGGGGCAAATGTTGGTGTCACTGGTGTAGCCGAAGAGGAATTGCCCTGAGAGGCCTGTACCTGCAGTGGCATTCTTATCAAAGCTGTCTGTGTTCCAGAATTAACTGGAGATTGGTTTGGTCTAAGGAACGTCCCTGAACTAAGAACGATTAAAGGGGTTCTTGCAATGCTAGTAACAGTTGTTGTTTGCTCCACAGTTTTCGCAGTACAAGTTGTATCTAATATTGCAGATGTTGGTGCTTGTGATTTATCAGGAACTGTAGAATTTTGTGCTGGTTCTTCTGGCGTTGGCAATACTGGGGAAGGAGGTGGAGAACCTGAGAACGGCTCATCAATAGAATCAGGAACTGTTACAGAAGGTGAAGCTTCGGATGTGGATGATAACGAAGACGAAGACAAAGATGGAGGGCTGTTTAGAACCCTTTTCTCCTGAAGAGCCTTAATGAGGGCATCTCTTGCTGAGTTCAAAGGAGACTGATTAAGAGGTGCAGCTGATGAAGTTACCACACCAGAAGCTGACTGATTACCACCATTCACAACGAGACTATTGGTATTAGTTACAATTTGCGGCCCTGTGGATACTGAAGACACTATTGGTGTTACTGAGGAGACCTGACCTCCTGTTCTTAAATCTGACTGCGAAGGTACACGAGGTGGCATTGGTGCCATAGCTTGAGGCTGCTTTTGTGCAGGATGCAGTACATGCATACTGGGAGCTTGGGTTAAACTCGCAGGAGTCACCTGATGGGTTGGTCTAGCAGCACTCAGCACAGCTAAAGAACTCTGTATGGCTTGTTGAAGCTGATTTGCAGTCAGAGGAACAGATGTCTTGGTGACAGTGGTTAATGCTGCTTGGATTGCTTGTTGTAACAGACTTGCATCTACTCCCTTTGATTGGCTGATTATTGTAGCTAGTGCGGTCTGAAGAACTTGTTGAAATTCACTGGTGTTAAATGGCTCAGTGGCTGGCAAAACAAACCGAATGTTTAGAGGCTTTGGACCTGAAGCACTGGATATTTTTACAGTCGATGCCTGCACTTGAGATACTGGGACTCGTGTTGTGGTTACAGGTAAGTTTGACGCAGCTGTCGTAGGATGACTAGTATTGAGTGTTGTCATCCTAGTATTGGGTGCAGCTCTTAAATGAAGTGGTCTTAGAGTGACCGGCTTTGATGTAGTGGATCTAGTGCTCCTTGCTGCGGCTCCGCTTAAAACTGTTTGCGCACCGGTGGCTAAGGATCGAACATCAACAATCTGCGGACCACTGCTTGCAACACCAGAACCAGGAAAACTGACTGAACTCTGGGCAGTGGGAGCCACAGAAACTATTTGCGAAGGCATTGATATGGGAACTACCGGGTTTTGAAAGCTGGAAGGCTTCTTTGCAAATTTTGGTTGGTTTGTGTCTGTAGATCGAGCTGATTTCAACGAGCTGATGACATTTTCTAAGGTCTGCCTCGATCGTCCCGTCGCAGAACGAGCTGCCTCCAAAGATTTTGACTTAGCGATCGCAAGCGACGTTGGCGATTTCAGCGCCCTTGTCTTCGCTCGAGGCGCCTGCTCGAAATCACACTCTTGGAGAAGGGAGCTGAGGGAATACGAGACTTCACAATCCTCGTCTGACTCGGGTTCTTTCTTCACGGTGATCATTCCCATGTTTCGAACGCGAAGATTCACGGTTTCCGCCTTGTTTGCTTTCGTGTTCGTATTTGCCGCGAGACGCTTCGCGCCAGTTTGATTCGCTGCATGTAAGGCGGTTGCATTCCTGCCCGAGGAAGTCGAGAAACTTTCGCTTTGATAGCGAAACAGTCCCGATCGATCGCTATGGCCGACCACGTCGATCTCTGGAGAAGCGGAACGCTCATCCATTTGGTCGAGAAATACGAATTACCGACCGTTGTTTACAGCGTTGTTTTGAATCGATCGAGCTTCCCCAGCTCTCCGGCCGTTTCCAGTCGCAAATATCTGACCTCAATTTGATAGTTCCACAGCTAATCCAGTTGCATGACGAAGCCTGGATGACACAAATCGATTTTAGCCGTGTATCCCCAGAGTGTCCAACCTACAACAGACATGAACACTGGTGAAATCCCGATTAATTTAACCCATCGCCATGTTGAATTCGACGCCGAGTCGCTTTCCTAAGAAAGACTTGTGGGTCCTAAACGTGTGTTCATTACGTCACGAGCGCGTGTTAAGGGGGCTCTGTGCACACTTGCACGACAACAAAGTGTAATAAATGTTGCGTAGTAAATGCCTTAGAAATGACAAATTTTTAAGAACCAATCGAACTCGAGAATTTTCGAAGCCTCCGTATTCGACTTATTTTGCCCACGTGGTGAAGATACGTTCGATTTTGTCGAAGTTGTTGAAATGAAGCGATTGGATACGAGCCACGGGTTTTCAGTGTTGACGGTTAGCCGTTCTGAGGGACACGATTTCAAATGGTTTCGCTTTTAAAATATTACTCAATTGCTAAAGTGATGATTGATGAAACTGAACAGGGGACACTTCATAAGACTTGTAAGTCAAACACTTATTAACGTTTATACAAAAACAAGCGATAGCTTTTGATCCAAGTTTTTGATCCAACTATCGCAGTGCGGAGCATTGGTTGCCAGCCACGAGTTTTGTGCAAATATAATTTGCATATGCATAATCGTAGCTATCAAATGACGGTGACCTCACCGTGTAGAACAAGCGCTTAGAGATTACGCTCCTTGAACGTTTAAATAGTTTGCAGCGCCGAAATATTCCGCTGTTGAGTTTCGCATCAGCAGACAAATTCAAAACATGCAAAATTCACACTGAAAATGTGTCAAAGGTCTAAACTCGAGCCAAATCAACGCCATGTGTTTTGAGACAACATTAAGACATAGATTCAGAACAAACACTTTTACAACGTTGCGGGGCAGCTTTTACAAGTCGCCTTACCTATTTACGAAATGAGAGATTTATGGTCTTTAATCGTAAACCTGATACTACAATCCACTTTCGTTAGACCGGCGGTTCGTGATTTTACATCTGAGATAATGCCTGTTGAATCGACGGAGCGAAACGCAAAAACCAATAAACATGGGCTAGGGAACCTCGCCGGCTGCAATGTCGCAATCGTGCGATAAAGGACTTTTGTCGTCGTAAATAAACGCAACCGACAACATTGTGTTCATACCTCTGTCATTCGCTCCAAGCATTCGGAAGAAAACTGAGGAGCTGGCTCGCGTTCATTCATAAAAATTCGACCTACTTTTTAGCTGCGAACTTCAATAAAATGGTTGCACAAAAAGCTGCGAAAGAATAACACTGAAATAGGTAATAATTTTCGTCGCTCTACAACTGAACCAGCTGATAAATTTACATGTCCGAAAACGGTTTCTCTCTTCGCGCTGTCGGGAAAAGCACATCGCTAGATCAGAAAGCTTGTTAAGTAGAAAAACCCGGTTGTATGTCTTGTGCACAAACTTAGCGAATTCTGTTTCTTTACATGCAGTAGTTGTCGGTTACGGAGGTTAATTTCCCTTATTAAAACAGACTTATTACTTGAGTTCGTTGCAATGAGTCGCGTTACGTACCTGGCTTGAATTCTCGCCTAAGCGAGGCTTGATGAATTCAACCCGAACATATTGACACTGAATTTCTAACGACAACAGTGAAAGCACGCCGTTATTGGCGGAGTATGTTGCTCAGTGCGAACTTGTCCGAGCAAAGAAGTAATTCGTGAGAGGACAGTGGCAGTTACGAACAGATATAAAGCTGCTCCAGAACGAGGCTGATAATTATCTTCAAACCTGCTCCTCGCAAGCGTGCGTTGATTTTGCTCGAACACTTTTGAGCAACTTTATGACGGGCGGCCACAAGCAGATTCTTCTTTTCGAAACGAACAGGCCGGTTTCGGCCAAGAGCTAATCGGAGGGGCACGCACTGAACACATCTTCGGAGATTTCCGGAAGTCCTCGGAATATTTTCGGAAGTTTTAATTTTCGAAGGACTTCCGTGTCGGTTCAGCGTTCAACGATTGAAATTAGTAAGCTTTGGATAAGCAGGCAAATTCAAAACGTGACTTCTACGATCAGTTCAAAATTTCGATGTATCAAAATTTTGGTTTTCGGGAACATAACAAAAAAAATAAATTGTTTACTTGCCGATGATGCGTTTTGTTTTACTTTCCGAAGTCAGTGATGGCGTGGGTCAAATGTATACACGCAGGCGGTTATGGGTAATTAGTTGGCCATAGACAAATTGACTGGACAGAAATTAACGCTGAGAGGAAAAAAAGTGATTTCCAAGTTCCTTATAGTAAGTGGAGAAAGCATAATGAATTGCATAATTGAATCTTTTGTTTTGTAACATAATCAATTGGAAAGAAACAATTTCATTCATAATAATAAAGTGGAGAGAGCATAATGAATTGGAGAAAACAACCATGATCGACAAGTAGAATTAAAGCTGGGAGCAGACCTTTGTAGCTCGCTCAGCCTTCATGCGCTCTGCTTAGTGCGTTTTGCACTTGAAAAGGTTGCAGAAGGTTTCATCAGAAAGTAGCCGTTGGATACTGCAGAAAATTGTTGCAAGATTTTAAAAAGATTTTCGTGAAATCCTGCTTCGTCGATGTGATTCTGTTCTCTCTCTTGGAAACTGTTGCAACTTGTAACAGAAACTTCCTAAAAGGAGAGCATATTTTTTTACGTGCATTGGCTGGCCAGAGGGTAGACTACGAGTGATCCCTCTGTCGCTTAGTCCGTCGAGCGAGACCGTAAATAAACCGCGAGGAAAAAACGGCCGCATGAACTCGCGCGGCTATTTTCTTCTCGNGGGGGGGGGGGGGGGGGGGGGGGGGGGGGGGGGGGGGGGGGGGGGGCGGTGAGAGACGCGTCCATCTCGGCCCCAGGAGTTTCGGGCGGCCATTTTTTTCTCGCGGTTTTCTCTCGTTTCACGCACGACGGACTAAGCGAAAGAGGGGCTACTCCGTCGTGGTCTAGAACTGGCCCACAGCAAGACAGCCCAGTCCCCAGTGGCTTTCAACTTCTTTTCCAGTGTATCTCTTCTCCCCCCACCCTCCCCCCTCCACGCCTTGGCTGAGCTTAGAACGCCAATTGCCTCGCTTTCTCCCCTACTTTTCGACCGGCTTAGCTTTTCCTCTTGCCGGTTTAATTTCAAGTTTTTCGCGTCGACTACCTAATAATCGTGCCTGGGGCTCATTTCTCGAAAGCCCCGGAAACTTTTCGGGCCCGTAAAGCCATAACAAAATCTCGAACCTTACGATTACAGAGCTGTTTTATTCATTATATTCTTAATATGAAGAGAAGTTCCCTTCATACAAGAAGTTTCAGGCGTATACACTTCTCCGTTTTTAGATACAGATGGACTAAAAATGGTTTTACGGGCCCGAAAAGGTTTCCGGGGCTTTCGAGAAACGGGCCCCTGGTTCGGTAAGAATTCCCTTAACATGAGTCGCCCGTGAAGTGAACGGCTTCAGATTAATATGGCGAAGCGCTGGCTACCTCGTTCCCAGGGCCGCTCTTTGCTACTTCTGATCTCTAAGGGGAAAGCCCTGGGAACAAGGTTGAGTGCGAAAGAATGGGTGAGAGATTCCATTGCACGTCGGATAGTCCACCAGCAGGATGGTATTGTAATAAAATTTAATTTTTATATAGGCCAAATTTCTTAAAGGAAGAAACATCAACTGCGCTTCACATGGATCAAAGACAAAAGACTGAAAGTAAAGTATCCATGAAATCCTACATTTTTTTGAATATCCTTCATTTTGTAGTTTCTGAGGAAGATGGTCACATTCGTCAATCATGATCAGTGTCTCCTGTTACGAGTCATCCTCTCTCAAGAATATGCACGTAGAGCAGGACGGAGGCCGAGCGCAGTGATTAGCTGAATAATCTATGAATAATGACATTAAATGACAGTAAAATTCGCTGGCAGAATGTTCTGACTTTCGTCACTCGTTCTGAAGGAAACAAAAGTCTACAGTAACTAAAATTGTTGCTGTCATTAACTCACATCGATTTTGCGGCACCGTACGCGTTTCTAATAGTCTCGTACGCGTTTTCCCGGCCGATCCTATTACTTCGACGCGTACAGCCCTTATACAGGACTGTTTTTCTTATGAGTCTAACACACTTACTATCAACCACCAGTCCCCCAGGGAGAGGGAAGAGCCTTTGCGACAAAAACTGAGTCACTGACTTAATGCTGAACCTGTATTAAACGTCCTAAGGGCCAGAAACTATCATCATTTGAAACCAATTATTTGTTAATATTAGACGGCGGTATGTAGCCCTATGTGGTGTCCTTACAGTTAGTGCCGATTCGGGATAAAGTGGTCCAGGTTCGAGCCCTGGCCGGGAACATTGTGTCGTGTGCTTTGGGCAAGACACTTGACTCTCACAGTGCCTCTCTCCACCCAGGTGTACAAATGGGTACGTACAGGCGAATTTAATTCTTGTGGTAACCCTGCGATGGATGCAATAGCATCCCATCCAGGGGGGAGTAGCCTGCCGGCAGACACCGATGGAGGTAAGCGCCGGCCTCTTGGCTCATATGCAGACTTTACCTTTAGTACTATGCAGTCCTATAACTAGAATTAATTAACACTCATATATCGCGCTTTAAGACAGCTCTCTGTCATGTCAGGTCACGGCCTCTTAGGAGTATTCAGTTAAGCCGAAGTTTGTTAGACCTACGAACTTAATTTTTTGTTATACATCAGAAACCAGTCTTTTTCCAGTGTATAGTATGTAATAAAGTTGAGGATGGAAGGAACCCAAATTTTACTTAAAGGACGTTAGAAGAAATATGGAACCTTAATTTCTATCTCCAATGCCCAATTATGTAATGAATACTGTGTACATGATAAAACTTACAGACTTAAGCTTTAACATACCTGACTGGCAAGCCCAGTTTAGGCTAGCTTTCTGTCAGTGATGAGTGAAGAAAAGTTTAGCAGCTTCAGGCCCCATCCACACTACGCCGGAGAAATTTGACTAAACGGTGTTTTCCTTCTGAAAACGCATGAAATGTTTTCCGTCCACACTACGCCGGAGAAATTTGAAAACGTAACGATCACCGGCCATTTTGAAGTTGTGTTTGAGGAAAACTCGGGAAGGGAAATTACACGATTATCGTAACGTCTCCGTTTTCAAAATGTGTTCCGTCCACACCACAACTCAACGCTAGTTTTTCAAATTTCTCCGGTGTGAAGAGTGTTTTCGAAAAGCTCCATTTTAATTCGTGACAGATTAGCGTGGACGGTCAGTCTAACCGCAGAAACAAAGCTGCATTTTCAAACATATCCGGCGCGTGGATCGGGCCCTAGACTCGGTTTTCCACCAACTCGAACCACCTCTCGATATTACATAGTCTTCATAAAAGAGTCTTGAACACGGAAAAAGTAAGACGATGACATCGTAATCGCTGACACCTGACATCACAAGCACGTGATTTGTAATCAGCTCTCAAGTCCGTTCGATCGACGGTCGACGTTTCTCAGAGTTAGCAAGGACAGATCAAGGTAAGGTTAATTTTCCTTCTTATTTCTGTCTTTCATTTCTTTTATGATAAACTGATCATGAGCACGCGTTATAAAACGCATTCTCGAACTGACTACTGTTCGTTTAGATACGGAACTTTCTATGGATACAAGTCGGTTGACAGTTGCACAATTGCATTTATTTGAAATTTTTGTCACGCGCTCTGCGACTCATCCAGGACAGGAACACGTTTTCTCTTGTATTAAGTGAAGTTGATTTGACCTGTGGAAAAATTGTTTTCCTAGCTAGAATTATATTGAACTCAAAAGGGTGGCAAATCGCATGAGTTCGCTGTGGCGAATTTACATGATATTTGTTGTTCATTTAGTTTGCTGACTCAGGGAAACTATTCTGAAAAAACCTGAATCAGACGGGTCACGATTTTACTTTAAGACTACCCTTGTGTGTTTCGCACGGAGTTAATGTTTAAGGTAGGAAACGTATTTTTCTTTCGTTAGAGTTTGAAACCATTCTTTGTTTCACTGTCACTTTCGTTCACGTGTTTTGATATCGATATACTAATACAAGGAAAATTACGACACTGTGCAACGCCAAGCTAGTTAGAAAATAGCAACTGATGCTCAATAAACTTTGACCTGGTACAATTAAGACAAAACAAATAATTGGCTCCGTCCACACTACGCCGAAGCAATTTGAAAACGCAACAATCACTGGTCGTTTTGGATTTGTGGTTGAGGAAAACTCGGTCAGAAGAAATACATTATTCTCGTGAAGCCATCGTTTTTGAAAAACTCCGTTTTCAAAATGTTTTCGATCCACACTAAACCGAAATGCTGGCGTTTTCAAATACCTCCGGTTTCGAGAGCTTTTTCAAAGAGCTAAGCTCCGTTTTCGTGTCGACGCCGGATTACTGTGTGTGGACGGCTGGCCAAACCGTAGAAATAAAGTTGCTTTTTCAAATTTCCGCGACGCACTATACGTAGTACAGTGTGGACGCTACGTCAAAGGCATTGATGACAAATTGACTCATGAACCTAAACAACACGATGCTCTGTGGACTTTCCCTGTTGCTTCAGTGTGGACTTTTAAGTCTAACTATAGTAAAGTCGAAAGAGGGCCGGTTACTCCGAAACTTTTAAAAGCTTCGTTTCTTGAATACAGTTTCAAAATTCAGGACGTGTATGGGATCGCAAAGACCCAGCCATCCTTGCGATTCAATGCAGTTCAATTCTTTATTCACACTACACTCTTTTCTTTTATAAGAACGTTGAGTGTTTTTTTATATGAACGTTCAGGCTGAGAATGACCAGAATTTTAAGAACGTATTAAGAACATTCCTCAGACTGAGAGTCGATTAACAACGTTTTTATTTTGCTTATCTGCATATTAAATGACAACCATAAAATAAAGGTAACAAACATTAACAATAATGACTTTTTTATTGCATGACACACATCTCGATTTTTAGTAATCAGCAGTTGTTATTTATAACTGTTACAAAAGAACTTGTTTGAAGTATTATAAAGGTAAATTGAAGAACATCTTAAGAACGTTTTCAGGCTCAAATCGCAAAAAAATATAAGAACGTTCAGCCTTATCTCCAAAATTAGACGTTCTTATATATAACAAGACTGAAGAGTGTATGGGACGATGCAGACTTTTGAAAACAGCAGGTTCGATCATTATATTTCTGCCTAGATGGGCAACGAGGGACTGATGCTAGATAGTAAAATGCGTTGGAAAGGAAGTACGAAAATAAACTGCTGTGCCTCGCTAAATATAAAGAGATACAGCTAATAAAATGGATCCTGAATTCTGCCATAACTTATCTTATGTTACCAGACCGTGAAATCACCGACGGACCTCAAATCGCTTGATCGGTCGTAAGATCAAAATCAGTCCAGCTTTTCTCAAGAGGTCTAAGCTAGGAGTGCGTTAGTTTTGGCCAGCCATTGAAACTTTCTGCAGACAGACTTTAGGTCTGATGGAACAGGAAAGAAAACAAGGGACCTTTAGTTAGCTTTTAAACAATTCGCCGGCGAGAGAAATCGTTTCTAATATAAGCTCGGAGATCGGGTTATATGCTTTGGTGGGGCCTGAACGAACTGTTAAATTTCTATTGAGCCTCTAGTGGCGCTTACTGACAGCTTAGAATTGACCCAAATTTTGATCGTTAGCTTAGAAATAAAGAAGTTTTTTCTTTTTACTAGTTGCTTAGGTATAGATCCGGGAACAGCAAAATGTACATATTGCGGTCCCTTGGTACACATAACTTAGAACCGGGCTGAAGTTTTATTTGATGTCTAGAAATGGTTAAAAATATAACTGAGAGCTGAAATTACAGTCCTCCATCCACGGCCCCTTTCTAAAGTCAACACTCGAGGAATTACTGAAATGAAATGGGCCATATATGCCTGGCAATGCCTTACTCTCTAACCGATGAACAGACCTTGCTTTACAGTCACTGGATTACTCAGTCTTTGCCGAAAATTTTGCCGTCACGGATCGGCTTTTGTCTTGATTTGTGCCGTCTTTAAAGACCACTGAAATTCAGTGTTCTGAAAACCTGCTAAAAACAGATTGAATTCGGAACTATAAAAATGAGACCAAAGTAAAATGTCTACTCGCGTACGACATGAACGCATGGACATATGGCTGAACCGGCAGCTGGGAATATTTTTCCAATTTCCTTTGATATGCCAGCATGTTCTTAATAGTAATATTGAAAATATATGGCAGCCTGTATGGAGAGTATCAGTTTCGATTTCGATTGAACAGCTGGAGGTTTCAAGAAAAGAGTCAGTTAAATTTTGCTTCCATGCAGCCGGTTCTAAGACGTGTGTGGATTACTCTTTAGCGCTGACAACACTGAAGTTTTCTCGATCGAAGCCAGCTTTACGTAAATAGTGGAAAAGTGAAAAATATTATGATTAAAAGGAAGCTCGTTATGATACGAGATGAAAACTATGCAACACATGGAAATGATTTAAGTATATTTTCACTTATAACTTGAATATACACGTCCCGAATTTGCGAAATGTATTCATGAAGTGGCTTCCTTTGTTTTCGATGACACGCCGATCACGTGATTCATGTAATCAATATGCAATACAAGGCTACGCTCTATGCCTTCAGAAGATCAATCAAAAACAACAAATCGGCAAGGACAAACCACAGTGGAAAAAGGTAAAATTATCTTCTTTGTGCCTTCCTTTTCTCTCAAAAGGCTACACATGCTTTAGGAAAATATATTCCGTCGCTGCCCGTGTAAAAACGTTATCACATAACCGTTTTCTTACGTTGAAAATGGTCTTCGAAGCTGTGTCGATTCGTTGTCGATTTCGCAACTTCAGTCTGCCGATCAGTAGTACCCGTTCTAGCTTGTGGCTCTTGGCGCAATTCTCATAATTTCTATCCCTATTTGACGACTGTCAGACTGAGGTGTTGGTTGTTGGTTTAATTGGGTCCTTTCTTGTCAACGAAAGAATTTCGAACTACACTTCGTTTCACGGTAGATTGTCCCTCTTAAGACTACTAAAATTTGTTGCTCCGGGCATAATCCACGACTCGATGTTGGTTGCCGGTTAGAGCTGAGGAATCAATGTATCAGTCTGTCTGTGATCATTAAAGTTAGATGATCAGCATTCGCCGCGAATCACGCTTAGATTTGGGCCGCTTAGTGCAAACTGAAGCGATGGCATAATTTCGTTGTTCACTGGGAAATAACTGATCCGATACCCTCACAGTGGTTCTACACGGATACACTAATTCAGTTTATCGTTGGATCTCAGCTCTGTTTCTTTAACCGAGTTCGGTTTTCTGGCTTTTCTAAGTTTGGAACACACACACAAACTTAAACTGTGATCACCTTGAGTGGCAATGAAGCCAAACAAAAGCACCAAAGACATCAAATGGGTTTGATTATAAACATACTTTTGGTAAAAATCCGGTGGAGAAGTGTTATCGGCACTACAACAGCCGTGACCGACTGAAACTGGACTTCTCGCACCTCCCGTATATCCATTTCTAAATTACGGGTATAAAGAAAATTTTTAGAACATCCTTAAATTTGAAGTCTACTTCATCCACGAGCGACTCACGAACAGTCTTCCTGTTTCTAACAACACGTTCATCGCACACTTGAATTCGATAGCTAAAGGTTGTGAAAATCCCTCAACTGAAGTCCGTTTAGGTTTCTGTGGAGTATCTCTTCAAAGGACGATTCAGCCGGTCTCGTTTCCCTTTTATTCGACCGCTTTTAATAACCAAGAATGCCTGCCTTGGAAAACGTTAAATATATACCGAAAGCGTGGCCATACAAATGCACAACTAAAACGTAGATTGCAACATTGTAGCGAGTTGCCGTGTCCAAACACATGCACCCACGCAACAGTTGAACGCAACACATTGCAACATTGTTCAGAAGACAGCGTGTTGAACACGTTTGGCCAACCTGTATAGAAAAGTATTGGATGGTAGCCGAGCATGTTGAGCGAGCAAACTCACGACAACATGCAACATCCAAGAAATAAATCTTGGACGAAATATTTGGCAATGCTCCAAAACTACCTAAGTCCACAGCAAAAAAAAAAAAAGTCCTGATGCTCGGAAGATGGCGACCTCAAATATAATTTGCCTTTTTGCAAAATAATTGTGGCAAGCAATAGATAAAACTAAGGGAAAGTACATTGATTATTCTTCCCTACGTCATTTCATTTAACCGCCTTCTATTCTTTTGGTCTCTACTAGTTTACTGCATCTTTTCTTTCTATCAAAAAACAAAAAAACAAAAATAAACAAGCGTTATAGTAAGGGACACGTTTTCGCTTTACGAAAGTAAAAATAGCGACCAGAAATGGCGAACTTGAGTGAGTAGCATGACAAAAGTTGAATAAAAGTAAGAAAATAAAAAAAAAATGTTGAATGGATAGGCATTTAAGAAGGCGCTGTTGCTAAAATGTTTAGCTCTGTGAAACACGAAAGATTTAAAGTGTATGTTCTTGCGAAATTTCTATTAGTTACTCGAAAAGCCTAGACTAGTCCCACAGATTTTCTTATTTCTTTCTGCTCGGCGTTTCGATCGCGACTCAAAAATTATGAGATAGGGAAAGCAACTAGAAAACCTCTGGAAGCAGGCTAGGAAAGCCAAAAATAATTAAACAGTTTTAGATATTAATCGTCTGATGATTTGAAATATTGCTTGACTACAAAATCGGTGCAGGAAAAGATCCTATTTATAAAGACCACAGGAGGTTGACACGATGGACGTAAAGGTCTGAGTGAGGTAATTTAGCTGCTCCACTGCGGTGTCTACTGCATGCCATGCGTGACTTCTCGCATTAGCATTGACAGTTTTTCTGAAAGGATTATGTAAATGCGAGACTATATCTCACCTCTCTTTATAGACCTTTACAGGTCAAAAGGGAGGTACGGAGAAATACGAATCTCGCCTTACGGCCACCCTGTTCAAACGGCCACCTCGTTATTACAGCGACTTTATTTTGGATTGACCAAAAACTCAATCAGTCACTTCCTTGCTTAAACTATGGTTAAAAAAAAACATTTTATAATACGGCCGCCCCTATACGGCCAGATTCTTGTGGCCCTTTGGTGACCGGATAAACGGGGTTGCACTTCATTTTAAATGATGATTGAAATGCTGCTATGAATAAATTTATATGCTATAAATAAAACTAATTTTTTATGCTATCGTCGGAGATCAGAGTAATAGCTATAAATAAATTGTCCAGTTTATGTTATTTGTATTAGTATTTCGTTTTAGCTGGACTACTACACATACCAACGGTATATCTGGCAACACGGATTATTTTTGTGTTCTGAGTGTGTCGCCAGAACATTTCAGTCAAGTTATATCTGGCGCAGTTTTCGTTTGGTTTAGTTTAGACTTCCTTTATATTGGGCAAAAGCGCGCGGTTGATCGATCAAAATACAGGAAGATGAAGACAGAACTCGGAATTACTGCTGTGTCGGTCCCACGCTGATTTTAACGTTACTTTCTCGTCTTTATCGTATTTTTTATTCGCCCCTCCGCCCTGTTCTGCAAAATACACACACTTTGATCCTATACTCGTTGTCGACGTTTTATCCGTATAATTTATGTACAACCGAACAATTAATCAACTGCGTTGTCACCAGAGTTCATCATTTGGACTATAAATACTGTCTTACTTTTAGAAATATCCCTAGCGATTTAACCACGGACCGTCACACCTATAAGTGCTTTTCAATTTCTACGTATGTTATGCTAAATAACGCGCTACCTTAGTTAGGTAGCTATTTGTTTAATCAAAATACATGTAACAAACCCCTACAAAACCGCGAACTCAGCTTTTATGATCGTGAACAAACCGAAACAAACCGCGGTATGGTACGTTGCGATTGGATTAGAAAACTACTGAGTTTTATAGTGCTATCACTGATGTCAAGTAGTTTAAAGAGTACCTTTAATTTGCATGAAATGGCGCAATGTTTCTTGTTACACACAATGCCCACTCTTTGAACACTGCACTTTTTAATTGACTCTCTCGACACCCACGCTTCTGAGATGACTCAATTAATCGTACTCAAAATGTTGCTTGCCGGCACACCAACGCTGGATGGATTTCATAGGTGCACTGTTCAGTGAAACGTGTCGAACGTGGGAAAAACTTCACGATGCTAGCTGTATATGCAACGATATTCTGTTTTCAATAAAAAAATTGCACATCTAGATAACCGTCGTGTGTTTTATTTTATTTTTTTTTCTTAGAACAGAACGTCTTTCGTTGTTCTGAAAATAGGCTGACTAGAGTAAAATAATGCTGTACAGTAATGAGTATTTTTGGCGACGAAATCTAATATAGCTCCGGTGTTACGAGGAAAAAGTGAATGAAGGCATTTTCAGTCGTGGGGGTTTTGGAAAAAAAACGAGTGAGTGATTTTACGACTGAGTGACACGAATTAATAGCGGTCTGAGAAGGAATTGTAAAATATTCATTCCACCTCGCAGATCGAAATCGTATGACACTCAGCTAGCTCATGTGGGCTTATATGGTAAAATGGAATAAACCCAAGCATTTTCAAGTTCCTCTCCGCGCTTGAAATACTTTACTAGAACCGAGAGACGAATTTCAGTTCGCCTGCCAACTCTCGTGTTAACTTTAAAGCGAGAGCAACCGTGAATTCAAGGAAGAGATAGAGCCGCGATAAGAGACCTTAACAGCAGGTAAGTTTCCTTTGGGTTAAAATTAATTCTCCACTTCACTCTCTAGAGGACAGAACTATGAAAGCAGCACCTTCATTTATGCGTGTAGTTCTTGTGGTAAACGTATAGAATTGTGTGTTTACTGATTCGCCGGTCCATTTAGTTCGGTAAGTCTACAGCTAGTTAGGTCTTTCACTTTTTTGTACCTGGTTATCGGCTGTAAATTTAGAAGCAATCAAGTCTTTATTTTGTGTTAATATGTGGAGGAAAATTTAATAAGTAGCTTCTCATTCCGTTTACCAAATACTCTACACGGTTGGCAAACGTTTAATTTCAAAATGGCTTCTTTCGTCCCCATTACGTTACCAGCCGTCCTGGCCGCGCGAGTCACGGCGGAGAACGATAAAATTCTTCAGTATTTTAGTGTATTACAAGAATTGTTTGGGAACTGCGCTGACATGTTGGGTGAACCTCAGCTTGTATCAGTGAATTATAAAGGTGATAACCAAGTTGTTTTTAAGCGTGTCACGTTTAAAGCAAGCATACTTGAAATTCATCCGAGATCTATTACCGGCTCATCGAGCTATTTTTGCCACAAGGCAAATCTGAATTCCTTGTTCCGTCAAAACTCAAATGTAACTTACTTTTAACTCCAAGGAGACACAGGAGTATTAAGGGTTGAGTGTGTAAACCTATTTCTGCAGTTATTACTAAAGACCTCATCGTGTTCAAACATGTTTAATGTTCTATCACGCTAAAGAAATGGTAACATCGAACTTGGGGTGCGTTCCTTTAGGATGATCTGGATCAGGATCGATCAGTGACCCAAGATCACTCGGATCATGGTGCGTCAAAAGAACCGATGAATCCACTCTGGTCACGGATTCATCGGTTCCTTTGATGCACCATGATCCGAGTGATCTTGGATCACTGCTCCTGATCCAGATCGCCCTAAAGGAACGCACTCTTAATCTTGGTAACA